TTTTTTTTTGGAAAACGGTTCATGTTATTGAGTTGCGGTTTGCGGCACAACGTGGCACAAACGTAGCACAACACAGCACAATAAAAAAAATCCAAAATTCGAAAAGTGCGGGGCCAACTTCACACACGTGTATTTCTGCCTTTTTCCAGCTCGATTATGTATGAACATCTCTACAAGGTATGTGAGAGAGAAAGAGAGAGAGAGTGAAAGAGAAAGAGTGAGAGGGAGAGAGGGGGGAGTAAGCGTTAAAGAGAGGTGGGGGGGATACGCGTGTATTATCTTGACACGCGTTTCATACGTAGCAAGTAACTGATTGCAATCGGGCGCCCCGCGTCGGACGATGAATTGCATCGCCCCTGCCTACCTTCCGTACGCGATCCGTCATTTGCTAACTTTTTTCCCTTGTAATTAAAAAACTAAGCTTCGGATAAAATTTTGACTAATGAAGAAATGTCTTAGAATCACGTCAGGAATACATTATTTTAAAGACAAACGCGTTTTCTGAGACACCCTGTATATATGAATAATTTACATAAATATGAGAGGAAACGCTAGTAATTGGTCAAAGTTAGATGTTATGAATACAATATATATTCTTAACTTAAATGTAATTATCTCAGATATGACTATGCGCCGAAACATTCAGACATTCCTATATGTGAAATAATCCTCCCTAAATTAATTCGATAAAGAACTTATTGCGAAAAATATTACCTCAGCCAGGATATTAATATTTTTCGCAATAAACTCTTTACCGAATTAATTTAAAGGGAATTATATTTCATATATAGGAATGTCCAAATGTTTCGGCGCCTTATCATACTTATATTATTAATGTCTCAGATCGATTGTAGTTAATGTCCGAACATTTGGGTACACAGTCACATCTGAGATAATTAAATTTCAAAATAATTTGAATCGGACTCTCAATCTTTAAAATAAAAAAAAAAGTAAAATTAAGGCTAATGAGAGTCAGCGCGGAAACATTAATTCATATACGAGGGGCACTACTTATATTTGAGCCTTGGCAACACTGAGTGTTGTCAGGTGCCATCTGACGTTTCCACTAGAAAGTTTGACATTTTGACCATAACCTTCTTCAGAACGTTTTGTTATTTGAGCGCGATTTGTATTGTTTATAGTCACTTGAAAATTGTGTCTCAGCGAAAAAATGGAATTAACTCGTGAAAATTTTCGTGCAATAATTTATTACGACTTTCGACGTGGATTATCAAGACAGGAGTGCATCGATCAACTTACTTCCACTTTTGGCGATAAAGCCCCATCCTTTGCCACTGTGAAACGCTGGTATAACGAATTTAATCGTGGTCGCCGTTCGCTCACCGACGAAAGTCGTGAAGGTCGTCCAAAATCAATTGTTGTGTCAGAAAACATTGATGCTGTGCAAAAACTAATAATGCAAGATCGTCATGTGACATACTGTGAGATTGAGACAACCTTAGGCATTAGTTCCACCAGCATATATAAAATATTGCATGATCATTTAGCCATGAAAAAGGTTTGTTCTCGTTGGATCCCACATAATCTGACAAAATCTCAAAAAGGTGCTCGTGTCGATTGGTGCAAACAAATGCTTAAGAAATACAAAAAGTGTATAGATCATAAAGGAGAATATTTTGAAAAACAAGTCATTTTCAATGACAAATTACTGTTTTTTTATTATTAAAATATAAATAGTGCAATAGTTTGTAATACTAAATGATGTCAGCTTTATTACGAATTCTTGAACGTTTCAACTCTCTTTGGAGTCTTCTTCAGCAAAGTTACAAGTAATTCACACACAATATTGATTCGATGATCTGTCCAGGATGAATCATTCCCAACTGTAGCGGATTCTCGAAACAGATGCCAACCATGTCATGAAGCTTTGACATATATAATTTCACGAAGATTCATGACATAAGAATCCATGACATAAGTATTACGTTTTCATCATGTTTTAACCTCTGTAAAATTGAAATGGTCGTTAGAATCATTCGAGACTCCGAACTGTCTATTGAAAATTAACCAGCTGCTCGCAACATGAGTAATTTATTATTTTGTGAAATTATATTTGTCAAAGCTTCATGACATGGTTGGCGTCTGTTTCGAGAATCCGCTACAGTTGGGAACCTGGGAGTGATTCATCCTGGACAGATCGTCGAATCAATATTGTGTGTGAATTACTTGTAACTTTGATGAAGAAGACTCCAAAGAGAGTTGAAACGTTCAAGAATTCGTAATAAAGCTGACATCATTTAGTATTATGAACTATTGTATATGAATTAATATTTGTGCCCATTTCCGCGCTGACTCTCATTAGCCTCAATTTTATTGTTTTTTTTATAATTAAATTTAAATTAAGAATATGTATTGTATTCATAACATCTAACTTTGATCGATTATTGGCGTTCTCTCACATATTACATCATTTACACGATCGTACTTATTCGTTTGAATAGTTATTCTCATATAAACAAGAATTATAATAACACAGGTGGGATCATTCTGAAAATTGGTTTACATCGAGCGAAAGAACGGAGTTTATGGAATCAAGAGAAAGATACGTCAGTATTGCACTCGGCGACGAAGAATATGAATATATGAGCGGTCATGTAATTGATGGAAGAAATTTGATACCCGCAACGAGTTATTTGGTACTCGTTTGGCAAACAGTTGGCATGATGAAAGGTTTACTGTACACAACGATACCAATAGTTTTTCGAGATGTAAAATTTATTCGAGCTACTCATTTGTCGAAAAATAATGCTATAGAAATACATATTGCGATACAAAAAGGTATTAGACGAGCGGTTTTAATTATATATAGATAGTCGGTATTTCCTATGAAAATTCCTTAATATAGTATTCGCAGGTTCAATGTACCTTAAATTAATGTATAAATATTTATTATTATACAATACTTTACAATACAGTTGAAAGAAATGTCTGGATGTTTCTGATGGAATAGCGAATACCGATTTCGGTTAATACATAATGGTAACAAAAATGCACTATAATTAAATATATGAAAATATTACAGATGGACAGTTTGTAATAACCGAAGGAGATAGTATTATTGTCACAGGTACGGTGTACGAGACATTGAATCCAGAACAGGAAATGATTCCAATAGATTTATTATCAGAGAATAATGATGAAGAAGAACACATGACTGCACGAGATATCTACAAGGAGTTGAAATTGCGTGGATATCAGTACAGCGGCTGGTTTCGTGGATTAAAGAGTGCCTCTATTTCAGGAAGCCAAGGACATATTATTTGGAAATATAATTGGGCAACATTTATGGATAATATGTTACAGATGCTAATTATCGGATATGATACTAGGAATTTGTGTGTTCCTACAAGTATTCAAAAATTAGTGATCAATCCAGTGCTTCATGCGAAGCTACAGGATAACATGGACAATGCAGAAATTACAACAGACAAACGTAATTGTACTTCCATTACTAAAAGTTCTTTGTTCAATTCATAAATATATATATATATATATATAACGTGTAAAGAATCGTCATAATATGGGGTATACCATTTTATTCATCTTATTACAGTATTACAAGTACGAATGTACAATGAGATAGACACCATAAGAGCTGGAGGAGTAGAGATTCGAGGTCTTCGAGCTACTCAGATTTCTCGCCGGAAATTAACCCATGATGCTATTATCGAGGAACATACGTTTGTAGCTCATTATGATCGGGCTAAGATTTCCTTGAACGAAGCAATTCGGGTATCGGCTCAACTCGTACTGGAAGATCATCAAATTATCAAAGTGCAAGTCGTTGAGCTAGTGGAAGATGTCGATGATGTTGAATTAGAATATCTTTCATCATCATTGCTACTCGAGGCATTTGGTGATATGCCACTGATACAAATGAATATCACTCTATTAACATCATTAAATCGTTTCACGCCAGAAGACTTACCACAAAATTTCTCAATCAAAGATATTAAAAATTCATCTTCAGGTGACAAAGCTTTAATTGTTGCTGGATTCAATCTTTTGACCAAACAACACGCATCGTTAGAGCGACTATTACCATTTTTAGGAGAGGGTAGTTATCTGTTGATTCGTGAGAAATGCGATAACATAACTGATTATAAAAAACATTTGCAGCAATACGAATTAAATGTTATTCTCGAAAAATGCACTGATAAAGAACTAGTTGTGCTTTTGAAGAAAAAAGTTTCGATAATAGAAAGGACTGTTGTTTACATAAGTAATGATAATTTTAATTGGCTGGAGAATTTAAAGCCGCTTGTGAGCGATAAGAACAAACTCAAGAAGAGTAGGATTGTAATTGTAGGAGAGGGAGATTTTGAATGCGGTTTATTAGGTTTTATTAACTGCTTAAGAAAAGAGCCAGGTGGAGAACTTGTTAGGAGCGTACTCATTCAAGATGAGGAAGCTCCTAAATTCTCTCTTCAAAATCCTTTTTATGTACACCAATTAGAAAAAGATATGACCATTAATGTATTGCGAGCTAATAAAACATGGGGATCGTACAGACACTTAAAATTACTACCACTCGAAGCCAAACCGGTGCCTACCGCTCATGTTTGTCAAACGGTACATACAGATCTTTTCAAAACATATTGATTATTATAGAATTACATTAGGGTAAAAGCAGAGAATATGGAATAGTGTCTTTTAAATTAACATTGCTCCGGTATAAATGCATATGAAGACTTTAAATTTACACAGAATTCTTGAGGAATATGTTAGTTACAACATCCAATAAATGAAAGTCGCCAAAATTTAAGTCCAACGACAATATTAACAAAAAAGTAAAAAGCGTGAAAATGGGGGTCTAAAAAATAGAATGTAATCTGGAATATCGGTAAAATTTAGGTAAAATATATAACATAATAAATGGTCTAAATTTGTTTATTTATGTAAACCGATGAAGAAAAATTTATATATATAAAGTTAAAAATAGTCTTCATTTTTATTACAATAACATAGAAAATATAATAGCATCATTGGACTTAAGCTGGCAAATAAGTTGGTAATGTGTGGAATACATTCTATAACCTAACCTATTTGATCACAAATAAGTTGCTAACATGGAACCTATTCCATATTAGTTTCTCAACACTCGATGTATTCCACATTACCTGCATGTTGTCATATTGACAAACAAAGTATTTCCGTAGCAATAAAGAAGTTAGAAGTCGCAATTTATCTGCATAATATTGTTCATGTAACATTATTAAAAGCGTCTATATAATATAAGCATTAACAAACTTACATTCAGTTTTTTAGAAAAAGCTGCCGAATCTTCTGTCATAATGAAAATAAATGTTTATTGTGATGAAACGTTTTGTCTGACTGAGCTCATTACTTATTAGGACATGTTTGGTAGCAAATGCAACAACATTCAGCGATTACCACTAGATTGCAATGCTTCGTTTAGAAGATGAGCCACTATTCCATATTAGCAATCTATGTCACATTTCTTGCTTTAACCCTATATATCTTATCTTTTAAATGCAAAATTCAAATGTAGGATAGAATACTGTCACGAAGCTTCTTTTTAAAATTCTCTTTGTATACGTCTTGTCTTAAAATTTCATTTTTTCATAGGTTCGTGGTGACTTAAGTACATTCTGTTGGATAGAAAATAATCTATCTCTTGTGTCTCGTCGTGAGAATTTAGTGCACATTGTCTACTCATCTTTGAATTTTAAGGATATAATGCTCGCCACTGGTAAATTATTGATATCTCAAGAGACGATTTTAAAAGGACGGTTATTTCAGTATGTTCCTCTTGGAATGGAATATGCGGGATGGGATGCTAATGGGCAACGTGTAATGGGGATTCGTGATACTGAGTATGTAATGCTACAAGAAATTATTATGCTGTGGTATGCAACAGAATAAACACTAAATAAAAGTTATTCTTTCTAGTTGCATAGCAAACGTCGTTGAGAAAAATGAAAATCTTTGTTGGAATATACCCGATACATGGACATTTGAAGAGGCAGCAACGGTCCCATGCGTTTACAGCACAGTTTATTTAGCTTTATACGTTTATGGGAAAATGAAAAAAGGTGATAAAATACTTATACATTCTGGTACTGGAGGTATTGGACAAGCAGCTATTCATCTCGCTCTTAAAGACGGATGTGAGGTGTTTACTACCGTCAGTACAAGTGACAAACGGAACTTAATTAAGAAAATATTTCCGATCATTCCGGATGAACATATTGGAAATTCTCGAGATACAAGTTTTGAACAAATGATTTTACACCAAACGAAAGGTCGCGGCGTCGACATTGTGCTAAATTCATTAGCGGAAGAAAAGTTAATCGCTTCCGTTCGGTGTTTAGCTCAAAACGGTCGATTCTTAGAGATTGGCAAATTCGACCTTGTTTCTAATAATCCCCTAGATATATCTGCGTTTCAAAAAGGTATTAATTTTCATGGAATTATATTGGAGAATATAATCACTGATAATCACAAGTATAAGTCGCTATTGTACAAAATGGTAGCTGATGGTCTTGAAAATGGAACAATCAAACCAATTCAAGCAAAAATTTTTTCAAAAAGTGATATTGAAGAAGCTTTTAGATATATGGCCAGCGGAAAACATAAAGGAAAGGTATACTTGTATAAAATAATAACAGAAAAGTTTAACAGCCTTATATAATCCTGTTAACATATAACGTGTATTTTTAAAACATGATTATTTTTATAGATAATTCTAAATATCCATGAGAAGGATGAGTCTTTAAATAAGCATATTCTCGCGTATCGTCGCTATTATTGTCTCAGAAATAAGAGTTATATTATACTAGGAGGTCTGGGCGGATTTGGTTTAGAATTAATCGACTGGCTTATATTTCGTGGTGCCAGAAATATCATTCTGATTTCAAGAACTGGAATAAAAAGCGGTTATCAACGCATGAAAATTCGATTATGGAAATCGTATGGTGTAAATGTTCTGATCATCAAAAATATCGATGTTGCTGACCTCAAAGATTGCGAATATCTCTTACGGACTGCAGAAAAAGAAGCTCCAGTGGATGCGATATTCAATCTCGGTGTGGTACTAAAGGATGGCGTCCTCAGTAATCAATCCGCAGAAACATTTGCGGAGTCCTTTCAATCGAAGGCTCGTGCAACGCAAATGCTGGACAAACTTTCTAGGAAAATCTGTCTTAACCTACGGCATTTTGTGGTGTTTTCTTCCGTTTCCTGCGGCAGAGGAAACGCTGGACAGACTAATTATGGTATGGCCAACTCTATCATGGAGAGAATTTGCGAGAAGAGAGTGAAGGAAGGATTACCAGGATTGGCAATTCAGTGGGGAGCTGTGGGTGACGTGGGTCTCGTCGCTGATATGCAGGAGGACGATAAGGAACTAATTATCGGTGGCACTCTACAGCAAAAGATATCCTGCTGTCTCGATGAGCTTGATAAGTTTTTACTTCAAAGTCGGCCGATTGTGAGCAGCATGGTCGTAGCTGAAAAAAAATTGGGACATCAGAAAAGTCTGGTAGAAACAGTGGCTAATATTTTAAGTAGGTGCTCCTATAGAAACTTATTCTTTCACAAATACTTATCATATTTGTTTGCTAGTCCAGCTTACGAAAAAGGCATTATAGTATAGATCATAATAATTGTACATTTTATATTGTAGACATAAGCGACATGAAGATTGTAAGCCCAAATTCATCTCTGGCCGAACTTGGAATGGACTCCATGATGGCCGTAGAAATCAAGCAAACTTTGGAACGAGAATTTGATGTATTTGTCACAGCACAAGAGATACGAAATCTTACTTTCGCAAAACTCATTAAGATGTCCGTTGCAAGCATCAGTGACAATGATGTGGATGATGAAAAGAAATTCGTCGCAGATAATCCAAATCTTATAAAAATGTTAGGTAGTATTATATTAAAAGATGAAGACTTTGTTTCCCCAACAGATTTTTCGACTAACAGACAAGGCACTACGACGGAAGTATTTTTCATACCGGGTATTGATGGATGTGTTACTGTATTTAGAACTATAATACCATATATTAAATTTCCAACATCGCTGTTGCATTATAACACACACAACACCGATTCTACAAACATAATATTGGAAACAACTAATTATCTCATAAACGTATGCAATCATATTATTAATTTCATTTTATGTCGATAAAAGGTTATTTTTACTTAAAAGATATAAATTTCATCGAATACTTTTGATATTTTTACAGCGCATACTTTCAAAGCTAACAGATGGAAAAGATTTTGTAATGGTAGGGTACTCCTTCGGATCTCTTATCGCAATTGAAATAACAAGGAGATTGGAGGCTATGAATTTTAAAGGTCGACTGGTTCTCATCGATGGTGCTCCTGAGTTAATACAAACAATATTTAAATCTGTTTTATCAGATTTTGATGATGTAAATTTTCAGATTAATATATTAATTAGTATTATGGAAATTTATTCGGAAGGAAGTTCTCAAAAGGTATATGCAACTTTTGTTTTGGACTCACATTGAAACTGATTTACGGTATATTTACATTATTTTTCGGTTTCTTTATGTGGATCAGTATCAATTCCTTCGTTTTGTCTTATGGTCTTGTATATAAAAACAAAAATTTTTATATTTTCGTAGATTTTAATGAAACTGATGAAATGTGACAACTGGGATGAAAGATTTAATATTTTCGCTAATCAGTTTTCAATTATATACACATACCTCTCACTTGCAAATTTAAAGACGCTGTGTACAACGATTTACAAACACTTATGCGCTCTCCGAGAATACGATCCTTCTACTTTGCCACCTATTAAGTCTCCTATAACATTGCTAAAATGTGCATCCTCCCCGTTCAATATACCAACGATGGAAGAGGATTATGGTTTGCACAAGGTATTATAAAAAATTGTTATAATTTGTACTGAATAAATCAAATTCAACAAAACTTTTTATTAATAATGTATGTAATTATTTAAGGTAACTCAGGATGTGGTAAAAGTACACTGCATTGAAGGTGATCATATGACGATCTTGAAGAATGAAAAAGTGGCGACTACAATTAACGGATAACTACCATTTACAGTTTAATGTTTTAATTTTTAAATCATGTTAGTCAAAATTTGATAAACAGGTTACAATCAACGCAAAAAATATTGCTAACATGTTCTGTCAGCTCAAATTATAATAAGAAAAGTGAAATTTTGACGATTAGTGTGATAGGTCAGATAATATAAGTTTAAATTTATATTTGTGAGATTTTCTATACTTCAGGTTTCTACACATATTTTGATAAATTATTTTGATAGTTATTTACTAAATCTACTAAGAATTTATTAAATCGTATGTAATCTACGCTTGTATTCGGAAATGATACCTGAATGTTCAGTGTATCATTTCCTTTTATTCTTATTACTCATCCTATATTATACAAAGAAAGAGCTATTTGCAAAGAACTAATATTAAATGTTTCCATTCATACATGATAAATAAATTATATAATTTATGAGGTTTTTCAGTTTATTAATTTTTTCATTTTTCTTACAATTAGAGAACTATTAAAATAGCCCTTTCTTTGTATAATTTAGGATGAATAATAAAAATAAAAGGAAATGATACGGAAATTATAGGTGTCATTTCCGAATGCAAGCCTAGATTTCATACGATTTAATAAATTCAGTAAATAAGTAGTATGGCGTTGTTTGTTTGCTTTATCAGAATATGTGTAGAAAATGAAGTGTAGAAACCTCACAAATATAAACTTAAATTTATATATTAGCTAACCTATAACAATCATCGTCAAAATTTCACTTTTCTTATTATAATTTGAGCTGATAAAAGATAAAAAGAATTAGGAAAGAACATGGGCAATAGGAGTCAAGCGCAGAAGACGTTGCGCAAATCAGTCAGTTAGTCTCGCTCATACACAGTAACGAGTCTTTCTGGCATGATTTTAGATTATTTTTCAATTTTCTTTTCTTGTAATTGATTAACATTTTAACGTTAAATTCTCCCATTTGCAATCTCAAAAAAAAACTATTATAACTAAATCTAAAAGTGACTCACTGTGTCTGATATGATTGGCCAACAATCAGAAACTGGTTTTTGAATTATTAATAGGGTAAATGTCCCAATTACTGCCGCTTTAAGCATATAGTTGTAATTGATATACTTATTTTGAAGCTTTTAAGATATATAATAGACCTCACTTTTTTATTATATTCAAATATAAACTTTAATATACACTAAATAAAAGCAACAAGCTCGAAAACTGACTAATTATTTAAATATAGCGAAAAAAATGATATGTGAGGTATTGAACATATTACAGCCTTTGTCCAAATACTGTCCCCCCAATTACTGCCACATGTACTTAATACTGTCTCCCTATTTACTGCCAGTGTGCAGTAAATAGGGAGACAGTATTACATGTGAGAGAATTTTTTTATTGATACAAATTTATTATCAAAATCATCCTGTAAATAACTCTTATTTAACAGAAGAGTACTTACATATTTATTTTCCTTAATCAATTTTTAGGTTAAAATATAAATTAAAAGCTTTTTCAACACCCTAAACAAAATATATACATTAATCATTATACAGATAACAGAAAATATTTTTTAAATATTATTATATAGTAATAATAATATTTTCTACATCGTTTTACACTAAAAATACCTACCTAGGTAACCAGACACGTGTACATACGTACACAACAATAACTAGTGTATGACGTCTATGACAATAACTAGCACATTCACGCATAACACGACTCATTTACTACCGGCAGTAATGCAAGCAAACGTTAAATGATTGTCCCTAATGTTACCATTTCAATAAATTAAATAAAAAAGTAATCCCATCACTTTTATATGCTTATTTTAATGAAATATCATTTAAACATTATTATAAATTGCTTTAATACATATAAAAAAGTGAAAATACCACGTTTGCTTGCACTTTCAAATCATGCAGTTCCGCTTTACTTCTAATTAGAAGATCATGGAGTTTGCATCTTC